TGTAATCGTGTTCAATCCAAACTGACATTAATTTTGCATATCTGAATTCAGATTCGCCTTCAGCTGGAGACTCTTTTGGCTGAGAAGGCACGTTTGGCCCATGGGAATTCAATATATGCTCGTGAGAACCGTTTTCTGAGGGAAATTGTTGAGTATCATCAACTTACAATGCAGGATCTTGTGTATTTAGATGATGATGGTGTTGAAGAAGTTTCAGAAATTTATCCCTTCAACTTGCCTGCGATTTCCGAAGCTCTCTCAGTTACACCACCATCACCAAAGTCCTCTGCATCACCAAAATCCCCTTCATCACACTATGATGAGACACCATCTGAAACGCCGCAAGAGAGGGCAAATGAGGTTTCGAGAAATGCCCCACCAAGTTCAGGCACCGCCGTACCAAAGGAAGAAGATGCAAATATACCCTCAGCATCTCCGGCTTAATTTGGGGTTTTTTTTTCTTATTTACTTCAGTAAAGATATGTATAACATGGGTGCCTTTTTTTTTTTCAATCAAATGATTCGACAAAGCAAAAAGGTCATATCTATCCCTTCGCCGGCGTCAAAAATTCCAATATTAGAGTTTTAATTTTGTCCGTCCTTAACTATTTAAAACATTTAGTCCATGTTTGGATAAAAATAGTAAAGGAAAGAGAGAGGAGGGGAGAAGGAAAGTGAAGAAAAAGGAAGGGAAGAAAAATGTTAATATTAGTTTTGTTTGGATGAATAAAAGTGAAGAGAAATTAATAATATTTTTATTTAATTAATTAATTTAATAAAAAAAATAAAAAAATAAAATTTTTAAAATTTATTAATTATATCAATAATTGAAATAAAATATTTATATTTATTTATTTTAAAAAAATTAAAAATAAAAATAAATTAAATAATATAATTCATTCAAAACCTTTTAAATCAAAGAAATTGAAAACAAAATAGAAAAAGAGCACATCTCCCTCCATCTCCCTTCTCTTTATAAAAATGATTTATCCAACAAAAAAAAAGTGCTTTGTCTCCCTCACTCTCTCCTTCTTTTGCAACATTTTAAATTCAAATAAAGTGTCAATGTACTTTTTCCCTTTTGCATTTTACAAAGAGGGGCAGTTGGAGTCTTATTTTTTTTTTTTTTACATAATATTCTTGTGTATGTAATTGTCAATGTAGATTTTTTCAAAATTATTAAATAAAAAATCCGAAATACCTGTAACTCGTTGGGGGCGTTTTTATTTTTTATTTTTCATTTTTTTACTAGCTTTCTTTTCAAATTAACAATTTGAATTGAATTTTATCTCAAATTCCTAAAATCTCTATGGTATTCTCACATTACATTTCAAATTATTAAAATTCAAATTCACAAACAAAAATATATATAAATTTAACCTCCAAATTAGATTGAGGATTTCTTTCTTCTTCTTTTTTTCAATCTAAATATAAAGTTAATTTTTTAATATCTAAATACTAATAACTTAACATATATACATACGTGTTTATTTTCTTCCTCCCAAGTCAGTATCTTCTTCTCTCCTAAGGAGTCCCATTAGGCTCTCGTCTTAAGGGCTACATTGCCTTCTCTGTATCTTGGACCATGGAATTTAGAAGCGACTCACACAGCCACCTTAGTTTACCAATGGTTAAATCCCCGGTTAAATCCCCAGTTCAATCCCTCAACTTTCATTTTTGAACTAAATTTACCCTTCAACTTCAAAAAATACTAAAAAAATCTCTAAACTTTAATTTTTAGGACCAATTTCGTCCTTCCGTCGACGGAAGGGTCAGATGACACGTTCAGTTGCCACAAAATCATTTCTTGTTTTAAATCTTTAATGACATGGAAAATAACTTATCCATCGTGCCATTTTTATTGTCCACATCAATTCTCCCTTCCCTTTAAGTGAGGTTCACCTAAAATTCTTCTATTGCTAAAATATCTCGATCTTCTTCCATTTTCTGGTTCTTCTTCCTCGATCTTCTTCCCTCAATAGAAGTTGCCACACCAATTCCCCTCCTTTTGCTCAGCCATATATCGATCATAGATCCCATTCTGTTTCTTTAAAACTCAAAACTTTCCTCCTTTGTTCCATAATTCAAAAATTAGGGGAATCAGGAGGGGGCTTCTTAGCGGAGCGAGCAGGAGAAGGTTTAGATTGGCAGGGAGATGATGATGGTATTTTCTTATTCAACGTTCTAGGTGGGATCGAAGAGGTTGGTTTGGGAAGTGAGATTTGGAGGGGAGGCGCATCCAGTGGCGACTTGGTGGCAAGACGCAACATGGATTCAAACTCTTAAGGAGAAAGCTTGAAAGCCCCTGGAATTTGAGATTCAGCGAGAATTAAAGATCTGAGAAAGGGAGAAGAAATTAGAAGAGGCTACCCATTTTCTCTTCTTCAATTAGTGCTTTTAAGATTGATTACATTGACCTTTTCTGTTGTTCACATGCTAAAGTTCTTTTTTCTTTTTTCTATTTTTGGGCTTTTGCATGTAGATCTCAACTCGGAATCTAGCCGGCTAGAGATGAAGTCCTTTCTATGAGGAATTGATGTGAATAGATTGCCATTGATGGTAGATTTCGAGGAGGAAACCAGAGTCTCGTCTCCAAACAATACGATTTCGAGTGTAAGTGGAAAGAGACAGTGGAGAGGAACACGAGATCGACAAAGCCTCCTCTCGCAGCATCAACGACGAGGAAGACAGCGATACTTCTAGAAAGAAGCTCTAGGTTTCTAAAGATCTAGGTTCTTGTGTTTTCAAGAACCCTAATCTAGGTTTACAAGAACCCTAATCTAGGTTTACAAGAACCTAGATTTGGGTTCTCTTTTTTTTTTTTATGAATTTTTTTCTAGTTTTACAGGAGAGAACCCAACATCTGAGGAACATACAAAAACTTAGATCTGTGCTTTTTGGAGCTTGACTTTGAAGGTTTTGTTCTAAATTTGGTGGTGCAAAACAATGAGTTTTTTCCATATTAGTGTTTTTTGAAGCTTGAATTTGATGGTTTTGTAGAAGATTTGATGGTTCGAAGTATTGAGATTTGAATTTAATTTGGATGGAATGAATTTTTGTTGTTTGGTTTATAGGAAAGTGAAGGAAAATTGAGTGAAAAATGTATATAAAATTTCATTATTGATGTGGAAATGGAAAAATGCCATGGTGGCGAAAAAGATATTGTTTTATTTTATAGGTCATTAAGATTTTCAACGAGAATTGATTTCTTGACAACTTAACGTGACATCTGGCATTTCCGTCGATGGAAGGATTAAATTGGTCTCAAAAATTGAAGTTTAAGGATTTTTTTAGTACTTTTTGAAGTTTGAGGGTAAATTTGGTTCAAAAATGAAGGTTGAGGGACTAAACGGGGATTTAACATTTACCAATTGGAGGGATATAGATCACACAAGCTTAGGCTTCCTTGGGCTTCCTTGGGCCCCCTTGTAAGTGTTGCACTGTGTTATAGCTCTTAAGTTTTTTTGTTTTACCATCTAAAAATTATATAATATATTAATTAAAATTAATAAACAAGTATATTAAAAAAATTCATCAAAATTAATTAAGAGTGATAAAGTTACATTTTCAAAATAAGTACAGTATAAAAAAATTTGTGTAAAGTATTGTCAAAACAAAGTCTTAAATCCAAATTGTGAGGATCCACCACCGCTGCTCCTTCTGCATCTTCACCAAAACTAAAGCCTCTTACCTCATGCATCCTGGGATTCCCTACCCGTTGATCTAAATTTTGTCATAATGGATTAAACTAACTGGTTTGCAGGTTAGACACTTGAATCAAATTCTGACCCTCAAGAATATCTGCCTTGAGGACTAAACAGTAGATTTTCAATTTACCATTTTTCATTCTCTTAATTTCATACCTGTTATATATATAAAACATGACAGGATGTAGTCCTCTTATCATTAACAATGCAGAAGTCCAGGTTTTCTCTTCTTTTTTTTCATTTTTTTTTTTTTCAATTCAGACTGCACACTGAGGTACAAACTCTGAAAATACTCGTTTACCCTTCATTATCCCATGAAACAGCATTGTTGGCATTTTTGTAAGGATTGTAGCCAATATGAACATTGTCCCATGAAGAAACTCTGAAAATACTCGTGTACCCTTCATTATCACATGAAGAAACAGCATTTTTGGCATTTTTGTAAGGATTGTAGCCAATATGAACATTGTCCATCCGCCATAATATCTTCATTCTTTTTCTTGAATAATTCTCTTACATGGGTTATCTCATGGTAGCAACTATCAAAGCAAACCAACCAGAGTCAATGCAGACAGAACTGGAAAGTTCTCGAATGCTCAAACCTAAGACTGATATAAACGTACGGTATCTTTCTCGTATATCTTTCCCTCCCATGGAGAAAGATATACCTAGGAAAATCATGGGAGAGCAAAAAGAAGACCAAAAAATACTTTCATTTATGGCAATACACAATGACAAACCGTTAATCCTTCCGACGATCTCTCTGTTAACCCCTTAGGGGGACATTACACATCCAACGTTTCTAATACATAGGAGCAGACAGCTAGATTTTACTTCTATATTCAGTGGGTTTCGTTCAATTTTCTTGGACAATTCATGAACAGGCAGAGCCAAATAGAGTCAAATTTACCTCTGTGGATGACTGATCGGAAGAAGCCACTTTGAATGGGTTA